TGGTACTTAAATTCCATAAAAAAATATCCATCAATGCCCGCACGTATGTAGTTGAAAAAAGGACTTTGAACCTAAAAATACCATAAAGTCAAGAATCTAATAACAATTGTAAGAAACAAGAAATAATATTTCATCTAGGCCGCAAACTTTTTGTATCACTTTCGATTATTGAACATCAGCGGTTATAAATTTGCACCAAGTGTTTCTCGACATCGTGACTGAGAAGCGCGATAAGCAAGAAGCCAACGCAACCGGAAAGATGCTCTTGACTTGATGACGTCACGCACGTCAGTGTATATGACTACGTAAACAATCTCTATGTACATCAGATATCTTGCATGAGTCACACTCACACAAACTACACATGCATCAGTCATCATACTCACACAAATTACACATGCATCAGTCATCATACTCACACAAATTACACATGCATCGCAGCATCAGTCATACTCACACAAACTACACATGCATCAGTCATACTCACACAAACTACACATGCATCAGTCACGCTCACACAAACTACACATGCATGACTCTTCAGAAATACAGCCAGTCCACTAACAAGCTGTTTGCAGTCATCACACTTGACGCACCTTACAATTAGCAGAACTATACATAGAGAAGGTTATCTTGAAATTCTGACCGAGAATATTCTGGTATTGAGAGAAAATTATTTGTTGATAAGTCAGGTTCACGGGTCGACATAAATCAGCAATAATAAAATCGGAGACAATTAAGTCAATTCCACCAACAGCTTGTTTATCTACAACATTCATCAAAACCGAACAATTTTTATCAAACAAAATTGAATTAGGCCCACGTTTGGCATCGGTGTTTCATTGAATGCAAAAAGGTAATAAATAATGTGTTCAAAAAGAAGCTCAAACCTTGAAGCTTGAAACCGAAGCGTGTTTTGGTTAACGCTTGCTTGCAATATATTCGCCTAAGTTACAAAAATAAATTGCCATCGTGTAAGTTCTTGTACGCATGCACTGGAAATTGCACAATTGTTCCCAAAGCTAACAACTTTTTCGTAACTCCGACTAAGATCTCTTTCGCCCTGTGGTATCCAAATGATATGCGCAGTGCGAGAAGGTTCGTATTCATTCCCGATGACAAAATTTTCAAGCTCATCCATAAAAATTAGACTACAGATGTTCACGAAAGAGGTTTCTATTCATTCCCAATGACAAAACTTTTAGGCTCACCCTTAAAAATTACACTACAGATGTTCATTAAAGAGGTTTCTATTCATTCCCAATGACAACATTTTCAAGCTCACCCTTAAAAATTACACTTCGGATGTTCACGAAAGGACAGTAAAAAAAGTGTGGGGCCTCTAGGCAGGTAAAAAATATAATGACTTCAATGAAGGAAGGGAGAGGGAAGCCTAACAAAGGAGGAGGCCAGCCGACCATGAAGACCTGACGCCTCTACACGCCATGACCGCGTCAGGATTAGGCTTACCAGGAGAACGTGTCCAGGGCCCATACTTTCAAAGCTCGCTAAGTGAACGTAAGTACTTACACTCTATCTTCTTGTCTATGATTGGTGGATTTTGCTTGAAAGGCCGTCAATGATTGGCTGATGAACTTACGATCTCTTAACTGTTTTTAAAAGAGTGGCTTGAAAGGCCGTCAATGATTGGCTGATGAACTTACGATCTCTCAACTTTTTTTAAAGTATAGGCCCCGCATTACAGCCACGAACGAAACACAGTAACAAGATGATGGATTAAGTCAATGGAAAAAATAATATGATGGTAAAAGTAAAAACACATAGTAATAAGATGATGGATTAAGTCAATGGAAAAAATAATATGAAGNTAAAAGTAAAACACATAGTAACAAGATGATGGATTAAGTCAATGGAAAACAATAATATGATGGTAAAAGTAAAACACATAGTAACAAGATGATGGATTAAGTCAATGGAAAACAATAATATGATGGTAAAAGTAAAACACATAGTAACAAGATGATGGATTAAGTCAATGGAAAAAATAATATGAAGGATGCAGTACAGATAGGAAATAGAATAGGAAAAATTAGAATAAGATAGAAAGGATGTGAGTGGATAACCGACAACGGTAGGTAATAATTAAGGGATACTCAACGAGGACTGATGAACGAGACGGAAATAAAAGTGTGTACAAGCCCAACCTGCATCGACTCTTTCAAAGAACATGCGGAGTTAAACTTGTACGAAATTCATTTATACTATACCAAGATGATAAAATAAAGTTCATTAATATTTAGACAGCATGGAATAGATTCGACTTGAACGTAACAAATTTACGGAAATTTCGGAAAGATTTTCATAGGATCAAAATCATATTATCAAAAAAATATAACTCAGTACTCACTGCAGTGAGTGACAGAGAGCGCATTTTCTCGTCGACGAAAACGAAGTCACGGCCGGACAGACAGACGGACGGACAGACAGACGGACGGACGGACAGACGGATATGGCGAGCACAATAGTGCATTTTTTCCAAAGTGAGAAAATGCGCTAAAAATGAGCACATAAACCAGTAAAAGATGAATGCCAATAAAATTACTGCTATGAACCTGATACCAGTAGTGAATAGTGGAACAAGCTACACTGAGGCAGTATACACTGTTAGAAAAATTACCGTTAACGGTATTACCGGCGTTTCAGTGGCCGGTCGGCACGTGAAAAGAAACACCGTGTCGCCGTTTTTATTCTAATTTAACACTAGAAATCTGTAAAACATCTGATAAAAACGACCTAACAGTTTATTTTCACGGGGCGACTGGCCACTATAGAACGCCAGTGGGACCGTTTTTTCATCGTTTTTTTCTAACAGTATACCACGCTGCGTATGCAACAGCCACCTTATAGGCTCGATGTCTCGATAGCTCCGCAAATAGCGGTAAACAATATCAGCTACGATGATAGTCCTCTCGTCAGGAAGATAGATTGATAGATGGAACGTTGATCTGTCATTTTAATATATAATTATTATCCGATATAATATTAAAATAATATGGGATAGAATGCTACAGCCATAAATTGCATCTCACGTGACTTAATATCTGTGATGAAACTACACCTCGCTCACTGCTAAAACAGACTATAATCAAAATGGTGGGCCAAAATTAAAGATTCATTTGCTTTGCCGCTGGCCAGATTTTATAATATACAATAATTATAAACAATTCTAGCGCCTAACGATGCTCATAATGTTAGCGGAGGGTCAGGCCACACGCGCATTACTGCATTACAGCTGAGCAAAGACGGAGATAATTTTTAAAAGGGCAAGAAAATGTAATGCTAAAGTCGTATAATATAAACTCTTGACAAAATATTTCCCCTGAAATAATCAACAACACAGAACTCAGGCTAAACTCGGTACCACGGGAGTTTTTTGTCGGGACCCATAGTCTTTGATACCAGAAATAACCTTGGAAATAATATGACCTCGGAAATAAATAAATAATATAAATAAATATATAATAATATGATACCTGTTATTATAACCGTTATTGTCAACGGCTCCTTCTGTTATTTTGAGCTGTTATTGCTTTGATAACGCCGCTCTCTATTATTTAGACCCCTTGTTATTTATTTCACGGTGATCTGTTATTATGACCATTATTGTCAGCGGCCCCTTCTGTTATTTTGAGCTGTTATTGCTTTGATAACGCCGCTCTGTTATTTTTACCTCTTATTATTTAGTACACGGTAACCTGTCATTATGATCGCAGATCGCAGCGCCCGATTACGTGCTTGAGTGCTCTACGTTGCTGCATAACGCCGGCCACTTTAATAATAACAATACGCATAGTAAATATACAGACATTATACAATGGAACTCCAGGGTAATGAGACATGAAGATGACGAGCAGTAAACAGTGGGAGGCATGTTAGTGTGCTTCGGAAATAATGGATAGTTGCATACTACACTGTTAGAAAAAAACGGTGAAAAAACGGTCCCACCGGAATCCTAGTGGCCGGTCGCCCCGTGAAAATAAACTGTTTCGCCGTTTTTATCAAATGTTTTACGGATTTCTGGTGTTAAAGTGGAATAAAAACGGTGACACGGTGTTTCTTTTCACGTGCCGACCGGCCACTGAAACGCCGGTATTACCGTTAACGGTAATTTTTCTAACAGTGTAAAATGAAGAAGGTGAACAGCATGAGTGATAAACCATGAACATAATGAAGTCAAATAAACAATGGGAATAGAGGGGTGAACATACATGTAAATAATTGACTAACTCACCACTTAAGGTAAGAATATATTTGGGTGAAATCATATTATGTTCAAAATTACACAATGTCTCAGGGCTAAGATTCATTAAAAAAACTTCCAACCAAGAAACCCTAAGCTTAATAATTTCAGAGCACAATGAGAATATTCACAATGATTACAAAAGAATAAAATAAATGTAAAAAAGTATCAAGAGGTAGACTTAAAGTTTGTTTTTATTCTCCATATATATATGTATTATGAAATGCCATAATCAGTTTTTTTTCACATTATCAAATGTAAAAGTAAATCCAAGAAGTAAAGTAATCCCACAACATCCAAGAAGTAAACTTCTTCAGATTGGTGAAAAAATTAGGTTCAAAATGCAATATCATTGATAACAAAAACATTTACAACAACCATCATGCTTAGAGGCATGCAATCAAAATCAGGCAGCTTTCTGATGACACAAAGCTAATAGATTATGCAAACTATGATATTAATGTAGATGTAGCCAAGTTTATCTAATTGAACATTGAATAAATATTCAAGCTTACTTACCTTGAGATTTTCATTTTCGGTGTACAAAGCTTCAAGATTAAACAAAACTTAAATATTAATTTAGATTTAGCCAAGTTTATCTAATTGAACATTGAATAATCTTTGTTCCTGCGCCTCCTTCCGTTCTTCCTGCGCATCCTAATTTAGTTCCTTAAATATTAATTTAGATTTAGCCAAGTTTATCTAATTGAACATTGAATAAATATTCAAGCTTACTCACCTTGAGATTCTCATTTTCAGTGGCTAGCTTTGCCACCTGGTGTCGCAGTTCAGAGCATCTGGCTTGTGATTGTTCGAGTTCTGCCTCGAGTTCGGACTCGAGCTCAGCGCTGTGTGATTGATATTCCTCCAACTCCTGTTGACTGTCTTCATATCTGCAGAAAAAGTATTTTAAAATTTAAATTCAAATATCTAAAAGTAATTTTAGAAAGTATAGGTCCTGAGGAACATTTGAAAGGCCGTCAATGATTGGCTGATGAAAAAAACATCAGTGTGATTAGATCAAGAAAATAGATAGAAGAATATACAAACAGAATATACAAAAGAAGAAAGAAAGAAAGAAGAATATACAAGAATATACAAAACTTTTACACCCAGAACCTGATGAAATACATTTAAATCAATTAACCTTCAGGACTGATTTTTCATGATTATCTCTAATTTTTCAATTATTTTTAGTCATTGATCAATTTTTTTATAACTAGGGGAATTTTTTTACAACTCCATTACTCCAATAATATTATATAAGCAGATTACATAAAAAATGTACAACATATATTCAATCCATCAGGGAAAGTATATGTATGTATAAATATATTTATTTTCAAGTTCAGTACAAAGTCTTCAGGTAACTGAAATGGATGAAATTCTTTATCATTGCTACAATTTTCCTATCTTGCTTTATGATTTCAAAAAGATTGAATAACTCAACTAGAAAAAAACATTCACTTCATATTTACTAACGGTTCATAGGCTCAGTTGCTGCATAATTAGCAAAACTGAAGATTTTTGTTTTGGCACTGAAGAAAATAGGAAAAGGCCATAAGAAGAGGTGAAATTAGCCTGATTCAAGGGCATTTTGGCCTGATTAAGGCTTTAACAAGAGGCTTCTGCTCAAGTATCCAGAACCTAACTGGAAAACTGGGCAGAAGCAACACATAAAGCAGACAAAAATGCCAGTGAATCTGGATTATTTCAGTCATTCATATGGGCTATGCTCTTTTCCCAATTTACACAGCAAAATATAAGAAAAGCAGCCTTATTTACCCTGGATTTTTGAGAAGCCACCAGTTAAACAATCAATTTTAATCATGATTTAGGAAACTTCTGCCTGATATTCCAAATTTATTCCAGCATAGTGGCAAACAAGGGATTTTTCAGACTCAGTTTAGGAAAAATTAGCTGATCAGTTCAAAATTTTATTGAATATGCTATGGGAGTAAATGCTGAGGCCACAGGGCATCATATGATCATAAGAATGACAATCATGATAGTGTGACTGCCAGGTTCAATAACAAGCTTCCTGATTTGCCAGTTGCCACCATGTTTTCCAGTTAGGACAGTAAGCAGATAATCAAAATTTGTTCTCAAAGTAATCAAGTTGAATAAAATAATGTTTTTATAATCACAATGTTTTTATACCCTAAAGCTTTGTTATCAATCAATTAGGGTAAACTCGGTATATTCCGACACTTTAAGGATGTAGCAAAAAATGAATGGCTATAAAAAAATCACCGTATGCACAACTCGAGTTCTGTTTGCTTTACGTCACTCTCAAAACACTGCACTACGCGCCAGCAACAATGAAACATCACAAAATGTTGCCATTTTTATTTAAAAGCCTCTAGAATGCAAACCTACCAAATCCATATATTCCAACGCTGTGTGTGACTAAATTCGGCATTTTGTGAGACTAATTCCGGCCGCACTTCAAACTCTACTAATTCGTAATTCCGACACTCTTGTGTTCGAATTCTGATTGCTGTGTGAGCTGTATTGGAATACAACACAGCTTGGAATTAGAACCCTATTGAAAATTGAACACTACCTAATTAGGCTTTTAATTAGGAGCTATTAAGGTTTTAATTGGGAAAACTTCATTTTTTTCACACAGCTTGGAACAAGCTGTGTGTGTCTAATTCCAAGCTATGTTGGAATTAGTTTTTATGTGTCTAAAACCATCTCTTAACTTAATCATCTATTAATTTATTTACCACTTGAAATCAGCAAATACAAGTATACTTAAAGGATTCCTAATATATTCACAGACTTATTTAAAAGTCTCAAACCATAATATACTTTCTGTACAAACAGTTTATCACTATTTGGTAGAGCAAGGTCAACTATCAACTTTGACACATTTTTTGATGTTCTCACTAGGTGACGCTCACTGTCTCTCTTTGGATCTCAACATTTTCCTGCCAGACGGCCCAGACCTAGTGTTTTGGCAATAGTTTGGTTCTCAAAACACTGCACTACACGCCAGGCGCCAGCAACAATGAAACATCACAAAATGTTGCCATATTTATTTAAAAGCCTTTAGAATGCAAACCTACCAAATCCATATATTCCAACGCTGTGTGTGACTAAATTTGGCATTTTGTGAGACTAATTCCGGCCGCACTTAAAACTTTACTAATTTTTAATTCCGACACTCTTGTGTTCAAATTCTGATTGCTGTGTGAGCTGTATTGGAATACGACACAGCTTGGAATTAGAATACTATTGAAAATTGAACACTACTTAATTAGGCTTTTAATTAGGAGCTATTGAGCTTTTAATTAAGAAAATTTCATTTTTTCCACACAGCTTGGAACAAGCTGTGTGTGTCTAATTCCAAGCTATGTTGGAATTAGTTTTATGTGTCTAAAACCATCTCTTAACTTAATCATCTATTAATTTATTTACCACTTGAAATCAGCAAATACAAGTATACTTAGAGGATTCCTAATATATTCACAGACTTATTTGAAAGTCTCAAACCATAATATACTTTCTATACATACAGTTTATTACTATTTGGTAGAGCAAGGTCAACCATAGTGGCAAAGCAGAGAGTTTTTTAGACTCTCCCTCAAGTTCATTTTTGAGTCCTATAAGTAGACCAGTAAAGTATCCTGGATAGCTACCAGTGTTATCATACATAAGAAATCAGTTTAAATCTTGAGTAAATGAGGAAATTAAAAATGAGCTGGTCAACTATATCAACTTTGACACGTTTTTTGATGTTCTCACTAGATGACGCTCACTGTCTCTCTTTGGATCTCAACATTTTCCTGCCAGACGGCCCAGACCTAGTGTTTTGGCAATAGTATGGTGCGCAATAGTATGACGTCACAGCACTATTTCAACCATCAACAAAAGCGTGGAACGAAGACAAAGCTTAATATAAAGGAAAAAAGTTGAGAAGTGTTGGAATATACCACGTTTACCCTAATCAAAATTTGTTCTCAGAGCAGTCTAGTAGAATAAAATAATATTTTTATATTCCCTACCCTAAAGCTTTGTTACCAATCAATTAATAAGTTGCAAGTTAAAAGATACATATAGGTAGGTAGCATTAGCAAGGTTATATTATACAAAATACATTATATATACATTATAGCAAAATTTAAGAATTAAGGGATATGGTGGTGTGGACCCTGTGGTGATGTTGTGATACATACATAGGCGGATAGGCCTATTTATATATAATTATTATCCATGCAAGTGTGAAGTGAGATCAAAACTTACTTTTTCTTGAATGAAGCTGCCTTATTTTTCCAGTATCTCACTTCTTCTTGTGGATCTTTAAATGAAGTAGGAGTATCTTCTTCATCAAAACTCATTTTAAATCAGTAATCTCACTCTGTGTGAGTTATATATAATACCGTTGACACAGAATCACAGATGAAAACCTAAAAACCTGAACTCTTTAACTTTTAAGAGCAGCTTAACACTACCTAGTGCACAGTGCACACTGACGTCTGCACACACTACACAGTTATCAGTAAACTTAGCACACTCAAGTTGAAAAAAACACTCACTGATCATAGAAAATAAAATTATTCGGAATAATGAAATTTAATAATTAAATAGATTATTTAAGCATCACAAATCATGCAAGCTTGCAAGGTATTAGTATTAAAATACGAAGTTTGCCCACTTAGAATGACTCAATTTCGATGTTCAAAATTAGTGACGTTACATTTTGAATTTGGTAATGACTCACTCAATTTCAAACTCTCACAATGCTTCAACAAAATTTTGTAGTAATAATGTTTCGACTGGTACAAAATGCTTACGATTTGTTCAAAATTGCACCGCACATGAACAACACAGCCAACAGAACCTAGTATACCTCCTCCACAGAGCTTCATGTTACGACTAAAGCATGTGGCGCAGACTGGCGCTGAATAAGACGGGTAACTCGGTGTGTGAGCGATACTTTTTGATATATCAGACGGTTGGTGGTCGTTCACAGCGCCATCTAGCATCAAGCAATTACTAGCCACAACACATCTTCAAAATTGCGAACTTGCATCGTCTTCCATCTTGCAATCATTGCCATACGGCTACCTCAGCATGTGACTTCATGTTTCAATTTCATACATGATGAACCACAAAATAATGTTAATCCTACTATCCATCTATGATTAGGTATTTCCGTCCTCTGAACTCTCCGCACGTGATGTACGTCCTAATAAGTAAACCTATTCGTATATGTCTCTCACCTGCAATAAATTAGCCGTTAAATAATTAAAGGTTTTGATTTTATTATGTGTTTAGTATGGACAATATGTTATTTAATGTAGTCAATGATGCATGAACTTCACACGCATTAAACGGAATCATTCATTGATTGTTAAATTGAAACGGAATCATTCATTCATCCAATCAATGGTATTGCAACAATCATTCAGAAATTTACACCCACAAGAAAACTTGTCAAGATTACTGCCTAGCAATTAACATCACAAACAATGTTTATGTTGGTTTATCATGGCGGCAGCAATAGATGCAAATGTCATTGCCCTCGTAAAAATCTTAATCTTCCATGAACAAATTGCCTGAATGATTAAAATCTTATTTAATATATTCTAGTGATCCGTAAATGTGCTGAACTGCAGCGATCTTGTCTGATTCGCTATGTTCAAAGCGTTCATTGAGCATATATTTAGCTGGAAACATTTAAAAAATATTTCGGATAATTTAGGTATCTTTAAAGTCCTACAGTGAGTGTACCTGTCGTGGTCATGATTAGAACAAAAACAGAGTGCTTCTCGGTCATGGTCAGCTGTGGGATATTCCCATTAAACGTATAGAGCTCCACTATGTGACGGAACAACGAGGCTCTGTACGATCGCATTTAAAACATCTCGTCGAACTCTCCAACCCTCACTGCTAAAGTCGGTCTCACTTGTGTACGAGGGCAAGATTACGCATGGAATAACTTACTTATGGTATGGGGCGTTTAGCTTTACAAAATGTGTGGTTTTACATAGGATGAAATGAGAAGGCCGTATAATTCCCTTACGATGGTTTTATTTTCAATTCATTTATTGACGAAGCGAAGTTCATAATAGCGAATAAGCAGAAACTCAATGAGAGAAGTGAGAATACTAATGAACGGACTCGGAGAAGTATGAAGATACACAATGAATGTAACTCATATTTTCATAGATAGCTACTCACGTTTAGAATAATAGACTCTCTAGCGAATTCAATAATTGCACTTAAAATTCATTTTATTTCTTATTTATATAATAACAAAATTTAATTCTGAAATTCAGCTCTTTGCGACTTCTCCACCGATAAGTATAGTATAGTATCTTCGGCATTGAAGAATAGGTCTGGATAGGCCTGTCGCCGATTCATGTACTTTATAAGGTATAAGGTACGCTAATACCTCCATATATATTGCTAGTTCCAGGATTTATTTTCACAGGCGTTATTTTCAGTTAGTTGTGTAGTAACCACACTCCGTAATGCGGGTGTTGTTAATGATAATAGGATGCACGCTGTTCCCATTGACGTACGCCCGGGACACGCAGCCAGGTTATGCAGCCTGGGCGTCGTGCGAGACTACGGTGTGCCAGAGAGTGCAAGACGAGGCTGAAGGCATGGCTAGAGTCAAGCTCCTCAGAAGTTATGTTTACGAGACGGTGAGTTCAGGAAACACGGAAACCTTATTGTTCGATGTATTATTTTCCAACACCCAACTATGTGAACGTATTGTGGCATTCATAACATATTTCAAGGTATATTTCATATTCATACTATCATATTTCAAACTATCGTCAGTCCGGAAAAGATCCTGTCAAATGACATGATTTTAGATCGTCTGTGAACAAGTCACGAAAAGTAAGAATCGGCGACAAGCCACATCAGGCCTACACTTCAGCGCCGACATCACTATGTTATGTTATGTTATGTTATGTTATATTATTAACACGGAGCTAATAACTACGGTGCATTGCCTTCAAACCACGACTTTGGGTGCAATGCTGCCTGCTGATTTTATTTTAGTCAGTGGGTCACATTTCCCAAAAATTCAACTGTGGTGTACGTAAAGTTACGCGCTGTCCTCCCAGTATAATGTGTTTCAGTCTAACATCCAACTGAGATATGATACTACATGCTGAACTGCCCGATTCAGTGCATAATTATCACTTACCGATAGCAGAGCCCTGCGGTAAAATACATCATTTTAACTCAGCAGTTGGCATCGGTACTGACCAACGTCAAACATATAATTCATATAAATTATTTGGGTAATATTTTCAATAATTATTTCTGCATAAATTAATAAAGTAGTTTTTTTGCAGGTACGACTGTTGGACAGTCTCATGGAGTCAATGGACAACGAACTTATACAGATCGCTGAGGAAATGAAAACGTTTGTTGGTTCGCGATGTCAGAGCGCCCATGGTATCTTGGCGAGCGTTATCGAGGTTGGTGTATGTAGTAAGTTATTATCATTAACAATATATATATAATAAATTAATAACCGGCGATTAACCTCAGAAAGTATTTGCCATTCTAATGTATGTCGTAAACTGAATTAGAGAGCAATAGTTGAGATATCTTCGACGCAATAGAGACAGTGTAAGGAATTGGTTCAGTATATGTAATGTTGTATTAGATGAATGTTCACTCATGACAGTTGGCCAAATTGAAACCAGCAAAATTGTATCATTAATGAAATAATTGATATTTTTTATTTAGGTACTTGCTCATAACAAAATAATTTATAGTCATGTATGAATAACGTCGTAAATCAATTCGCTCCAGCTTTGAAAATAGATTTATAATGAAAATTGAGGGGCTCGCTAGAAAAATGACTATTGAAGACTGATTCAAGTAAATCATCAATCTTCAGGTGATTAATTTGGATTTCTTGTTCACATACACGATCGTGTTTGCAGAAAACTATTGAAGATTGATCAAAGTAAATGATCAATCCTCAGGTGATTGATTTGGATTTGTTGTTCTCATACACGATCGTGTTGGCAGAAGACTATTGAAGATTGATCAAAGTAAATCATCAATCCTCAGGTGATGATTTTAGATTTGTTGTTCTCATACATGATCTTGTTGGCAGAAGCGGCCACGTAGCGACGCAGAAGGGCTGTCCGCTGGTATAATGGAGGAGTCAACCGCGCAAGTAAGTTGACTATTATTTGTGGTTTAAGGTCTCTTTGATTTTTGGTTTTACTAGACGTCACGATAACCTCTTCGTTGAACAATACTAACAATACAGACCAATCTCGTTCTGCATGCGATCAGACATATGAATGGGTCATTTTGATGAAAGTAGTGAAGCATTTTCTTACCTACAACACAATCAGATTACAGACTTAGCAGTGATACGGTACCTCTTGTCCTGCCAAACTGGGACAATGACCCACGCAAAAGCAAAAAGTGTGTCGCTATTTGAACGAAGTGAAATTCATTTTTCCGAGCTTGCACACAAGATTATAATTCTCATATATTACTTTACGCGGTGAAGGATACGTAAGTTTCAGTATTAAATACAATTTGAAAGGAACAAATTGAGCTGATATATATACTTCATTTTCAGTTAATTTCACCCGACAGTAACTTAATCCAGATTGTTGAAAGAATCGGATAAATTTAAGCTAAGAGCAAGTTAGCGCGGCATGGTATTTTATGAAGGTAAAGTTAATGTTTTTTTAATGTATGAACAAAGATACAAACTAGCTTTGAAAATTTCTCATGGTTTACGTTTTTTCAACAGTTCGACGCGAAGGAGGAAACCGATGTCTCCAACGGCATCGAGAGCGCCGGCCAAAGGTACTGAGAGTTATCAAGTGCAATATTATTTGTATTACGTGCAGCAATGTTAGTCAATTCAGATGGTGGCAGAAGAGTAAATAGTTTTATGAAGACATGAATTTGTTTATTTTTATTATTTATGATTATATTATATATCTATATATATAATTTTAATTTATAATCATCTTTTATATCTTTAGATTATTTTATTACTATATTTTTAATCTGTATATATTTATTATTATAATAATTGTTTTATTACAATCATTAGCTTATAGATCTAGGTCATCAAACAAGTCAACTGTTCATCCTTATCCAATCAATAATTTAATTTATGTCCATTCTCTAACTTCTACATCGGTGACAACAGTGCGTGGTCGGTACCAGACTCGTGGTCGTGGACAACTTCTCAAGAACATGATGAAGACGAAGATGTTCCTGTTCTTCAGTCAAGCACATCGAATAAAGAGGGTTACGAACAGCAGACTTCTGATTGGCAAGTTAGCGAGAACGAACTGACTTCTAGAATATCGTCGGATCGTTTGGATCAACAGCTTGGAGGAAGTGTACAGCAGGCGAACACTGGTGATGGCACGGGAAGTGTATGGCAACCAATGAGAGGTCCTTCAACGAACAAAGGACGGCAAGGCCATGAGCGAAAAGAAGATTTATCGACCTCTGCAAGTCAGAACCAAGTGTCGACGTCCCAGTTTCAAAGATATGGCAATAACTGCCGTGGCTTGCCTGGCTCGCCTTTTGCTGTACCTGGAATTGACAGCTGGTGCGACGTCAACTGCAGCAGAGGTTACTGTCCTTCAACTCATTGTACCTGTCAGTAATTCAATCCAATTCGTCGAAACGATCGGATAAATTTAGCTTAGATGCAAGTTAGGTTGACAAAGTAATATATGGAGAATAAATTAGGTTCGTATTCGAAATAATTTTCGCAAATTCGTTTGTGCGATTGATGAATACGATAGTTTACATAGTTTACACATGTTTAGCGAAACATTTCCTTAGTTAGTGTTCTATTGTTTGGGTAATTTTTTAGTTTCTCATATTAATCCGATGCCATAATACTAATTCGTCGGAGTAGTTACTTTCGAAGAAATAATCTCGTGCATCTCAAAACCGTGAAGGTTGTTTTCAGCACCAAATATATGCTCCTTTAGTAAAATTATTGGATTTTGAATTCGTGGTGGAGTGACTCTGAACGAACACAGCTACGATGCATTTGGTCAAAATTTTGGCACAAAATTTTCTTAGCGCACTAATTTTTATCAACCTTTTTCGCTTCTTTTCTTTTTCATCTTCTGCTTCGTCGAGATTATTTGCCCACTCCGTCTTTTAATTAGCACGCTAAGCGATAATTTTTGGCAACCACTTCACTTGTAAAATTCTCAAGTCTGACCCGATTCGGTTCTAATTAAGATCGTCGGTTTATTGATAAGATTTATACGCACAAATAGATTTAACATGATGGCAGCATTTCTGAGAAGAACCAACTACTATTTTATAATAGATAAATTCACTGTCTATTTTTAAACTTTGACTGCTGTGCGTACATGAAATATAACCTGACAAATTTATTCATTTTTCGTTTTCAATTTATTGACCCTGATAAAATAATAATTACGTAAGCGTTTACTTCAATGAAATTAAATTTTTACAACAGTGGCAATTATTCTCGCAAATGGCAATACTTTCTCCTGCAGGAAGAATTACTACAGAAAAATTGATTACACAGTACCCGCATTCGCGTAAGCGATGGCAACATTTTCGTTTTACGGTGACGCGGTTGTACGGCTTGATAGGCTGCTATCGGGGCTCGAACGGTGAAATATAACCAAAAATAATGAAATTTGGCGAGGTTCTAATGAATAATTGAGTTAAATTTTAGAAGATTAATCAAATTATTATCTAGATTTTATTATGGAAAATTATTTAAAGCTATTAATTCTGAAACACTGAAGTGGTCACTACTCACTGGTCATCCGTCAGAGAGCGTAAAAACTTGATTGTGACTAGCAGTTACTACTACGTGAGTCGTGAGTACTACCTAGTTAGCACTAGCGCCGTCAAGTATGCATCTAATCAAACCGAATGGTGTGTGAATTATCAGAAAATTGACTAATGTTATGATAAATATATAATCAGTTGGTCTCTTGAGTCTTGACACTGTAGTTCAAGACTTCAAGTTCTTTCAAGGTGGTTGGCTGGCGGCACCGCGGCAGTGGCCACTGGCCTTCTGCCGCCTTCATTGTATAAGATAGAAATACCTAACCAAATTTATCTCTGCATTTTAGAGGTTTATCTGTTGCTATTGCATCTTGGCGATTTCCAATTTCCATCTTGTAAGCAACATTTAAATTATTATATACCAATTATACATTAGGCTACTGTTGAGATTCAACTTGAGAATTGTGATTTTATTTAGCTAGGCCTATCCAGTATCCAATAAGAAAGGTCTCCAAGACTCCAAGTAGGTAGCTACCTACCTAGTAGGCCTAGGTAGGCTATCAATAATCATGCTAGCCTCATCATAGGCTTAGCTAGTGACAAACCAGTGATTTTTTAGAATCAGTTCATTTTTAATTTTCTCAATTACTCAAGATTGTAACAGATTTCTTATATATGATAATTCAGTAATTCTGGTAGCTATCCATAATCCAAGATACTTTACTGGGTCTACTTTACTTATAGGGACTCAAAAAAAGAACTTGAGGAAGAGTCTAAAAAACTCTCTGCTTTGCCACTATGTAGTGAGTGAGTGCCTCATTCAATTCCTAGTATATCAATGATGTTTTCAAATTTTTAGATTGCATTGTTTTTCTAAAGATGAAAATAGGTAGGCTACTAATATGATCATGAAAAAACTATTTTAAATTTTCCAAATTTTCTCGCGGGAGATGCCGAGATGGCAAATGAAACAATATTAAACTAATTTTGATTTTTGTCTTGTCAGACAAAATTTTTGCAAACCTGTTTTTTATATATAAACTGCATGGTTTTTTTTAGCCATATAGCCTACTGATGATATAGGCTAACTATCTGTTACAGTCAGTGACAGTCAGTGTCACACAATGACACACATGTTTGTTCATAATTTCATATAGCTAGGCCTACTCACTGCCATGCACTAGTTACTAGTATGCAGGATGCAGCTGTGGATATGAGTTAATTTATGGATTACAGCCTTGTTTGTTGTTCAATTTTTGTGTGCCAGTAGAAATGGAGGAGCTCAGGAGCTGTGGTGGTGCAGTGGTGAGAGACACACAGGATGGAATTCTAAAATTTACAGTTCTTATATTATTTTTGCTACACCTAGACCAGTTTTTCGATACAACATTATTTGAGGCAAAAAAATTAACTTCTTATAGGCTTAAACACGTATAGGTAAAGGTATAAAAAGTTTCTATAAAGTAATCACTTAACTTGGAAATGTTGCGTGTCTGCAGGGCAGCTTGCACTCAACAATTAAAATTATA